AAAAAGTTGGGAGTCTGTCAGTGGAGTGGGGAAGAAATAGGTGCAGGCTGAGTGGTGAGGATGAAGTGGCAGAAACAGTGACTCAGCAATGCCTTCCTCCATGACTACCTGCCACTGCCAGGGAGTTAATGAGAGTTCAATTCTGGGGAAAGGCCCCAGGCCCTGCAGCTCCCCTGGGGTAGGGCTCCCTCTTCCCACAAAGCTGAGAAAATTCCTCACTCCCCAGCCACAGGTTACCTGTGTAGAGGTGTAGGGCTCAGGGCAAAGCCTGGCTCTGAGCATCCACGCCACTGGTAAGGCAGCCCCCTGAGGGTCTGCCTATGGGTCAGGCTGGGAATGGGAATGTAGAGCTGGGGCCCTCACCTCTCACCAGCAGCTCCACGGGGTTGCTGTAGTATGACCAGCTGGGTGGCTCATTCTGGGTCTGGTAGCAGCAGGTGTAGTTACCACTGTCCTCCCGCCGGGCATTGGTGATGGGGAACTCGCCTTTGTTCCCAGCTGGCTCTGTGTGCCGCAGGGCACCCAGCACCCCAGCCTTGTACAACAGAAACCGCATGCCTGTTAGGTTTGCCTGGCAGTGGATGATCACATTGGCTCCTGGGGTGATGTTCCTGCTGGGGCTCAGGGAGATGGTTGGTGCTGGGAAGACTTCTGTCCAGGAGAGAGGGAGAGAGAGAGAGAGAGAGAGAGAAAGAGAGAGAGAGAATGAAACATCATACAAAACCCCACTTCCCAGCCTCCCCCTCACTAGGGGCAGTTGTAACCTGGGTCTTTCCCTTTGCCCATCCCCTAGGGTTTGGTGGCTGGTGACACACCCAGTGCTGGCATTGCTTCCCTAGAGGACCTGCCTTGGGTGCCACATTGAGCACTGACTCTTAGGCTCCTGTGATGTTACATATATTATGCAATTAATTGATCAATCCCACAATACATTCAGATTGGCCACATGTGCAAAGTAATTATCACTCCATAAAAATGTCCACCCAGCTATAAAGGAGCCAACCTTTATGAAGTTAGTGCTCAAAAATGTGTAACAACTTTATAGCTGGTTTCCATCCATCTTTACATTTGCCCATGTGGCAGGGCCTGTCTTACAGTGTGCCAGAGAGAAACCAGAATCAATCTGGCTTGAGACACATCTCTTGTTACTCATTTCACAGCCATTGTCCATTCTCTGAATTAGAGCAGTCATTTTTAACACGTTGATGTTCACCAGCTGGTGTTCTTTAATAATTAGATTATTAATAAACTCATTAATTACTCCAAATCAGGGATACTCTGCATATTTCCCTGCCTGGTGCCACCTGTACTGGGGTCACTCACTTAGTCATAATATTTTATGAAAGAAACATTTTTTTCAGGCGTCACAAAATACTCTTTTTTTACCATCTTTTCCTTTCCTGAAAAATTTGGGTTGTTTGGAAATGTTTCATTAGCACACTTTTTGCTTAGCCTCTTCCATTATGAAATAAGAGGAAAATCTATCAAAAACTGATCTAGACTGTCAAAATGAAGTTGACTTGAAATTAAATTGAACATTTCAATAAAACTTCTAGGGACAATGCATAAATACAATAAAATAGAGTTTGAAAGGCAATGTGCATGAACTTTTAATGTGGCAATATCATTTCCAATTGAACAAATAATACAAGAACATAAAAATAAGATGCATAACATTTGGAAATAAAATGTATATTAAAAATTTGACAAAATATCATAAAAATATGCTAATAAAAGTCAAGAAGTAACTGGAAAGCTATTTAAATAAATAATCACTGTAATGCTATTGGGAAATGCAATGATTTTGGAAATGAAATGCATATTTAAATAATTTGTTGATGCAATTAACTAACAAACATGAAAAAAATAATAAAATGGACCATTCTTTCAAATTAAATGGTAAAATTCTGATAACATTTCGAAAGAAAAATAAAGATACATTCTTGCCTACATACTAGGAGAACAGAACAAACAATGCCTTCTAATAAAGTAAGAGTCATCATCTTGAAAGAAAAAGGAGCATTAAATGACACCGACATTTTAATGTTTCTAAATTCTATTGAATACTCTTAAGATCATATAAATAAAATATAGAATGACATTAGGAAAAAGAATAGGGCTGGAATCACTTACTGCCTGACAGGTAGGAATTTCAGATGGGATGCCTGTGTAGAAACGAGACTTAGTTTAAGGGAGACAAAGTAGAGAGAGTAGCAGATTCCAGCCTCCCCCCCAAAGACTTTCAAATGCAGAATTATATCATGGAAGTCAGGTTCTATCTTCAGCTCTGGGTGGGCAGTGAGGTTTAGTACTTAAAGGAGGGAGATGGGACTCCTGGGTTCTATCTTCAGCTCTGGGAGGACAAGTCAGGCTGAATAGTTTAAGAAGGGGACTGGGACAGCCAGGACTCCTGAGTTCTATCTCAGCTCTACAAGGGATGTGGGGGCTGGCGGATCAGAGCAGGGGGCTGTGGGACACTAGATAGCTGGTGCAGGGGGCACACAGGGGTTGAATCGACTCAGCTCCTCACCAGGGGTGATGCAGGTAGAAGTGGCCACAGGTTCCGGTCCGGCAGTGTGGAAGGAAGAGCACCGTTAGTGAACTGCATACTGCGGCAGCCTGGGGCAGCACTCCCTAAGCCTGGCAGTGTACATGCACAGAGCAAAGAGCTGCTTGTGCCCTTACACTCAGCTCCAATTGAGTTAATAATTGGGAAGGATTTGCCTCCAACGATTAGAGATTAGGGGGTGGGGGGCAGGGATGGGGAGGCTGGGGGCCAGGATCCATGGTTTGGATGGGTAAATCGAGGCACAGGGAGGGAAGGTACAGGAAGGGAGAATGGGGTTGGTTGGGTTACCACAGGGGGAGTTGGGAGTCAGGACTCTAGGGTCCTATTCCAGTCCCAGAAGGGGAGTGGGGCTGGGAGCTAGGATGTCTTGACTCAAGAGAACACAGTATCTCACCTTTCACCACCAGCTCCACAGGGTTGCTGTGGTATGACCATTTGGGTGGCTCATCTAGGGTCTGGTAGCGGCAGGTGTAGTTACCGCTGTCCTCCTGCCTGGCGTTGGTAATGGGGAACTCACCCTTATTCCCAGCCGGCTCCACGTGCCTCAGGGCATTCAGCACCCCAACCTTATACAGTAGAAACCGCATGCCTGACAGGTCTGCCCGGCAGCGGATGATCACGTTGGTTCCTGGGATGATGCTTCCACTGGGGATCAGGGAGATGGACGGTGCTGGAAAGGCCTCTGGGGAAAGAGGGAGATGGTCCATGAGCCAGGGAGACCACCAAAGGGGAAAGGTCCTTGCCCCCCCCGCAAGCCACCCAGTTCCTTCCCTTGGAGCTGGTGTCTCTGAGGAAAAAGGCCTATGCCCCATCCCTGCCTCTTGAGCCAACCAGTGCCCCCACCCCATGAAAGAGGAAGGGGAAAATCTGTGTGCAGCCCCACTGAACCTCAGGTAGGAGTGGGGACATCACTCTCTGGTCTGGTCCTGAGAAGGAACTTGAAATCCTGCCTGGGCTTCTTGTGTAGCTGATGGTTTCCTGCCCCCAGAAACCCTTGTACTCTGTGGCTGCCTTTGGGGGCCAGGATTCCCACTCCTGTCTGTAGAAGCTGCTGCCCACCCCTGGCTAAGGAATCCTCTGGTGACTCAGCCTCTCTCTCCGCTCAGACTTCCCCTGTGCTGGGCCCAAGGGTGCAGGGCTAAGCTTGGTTCTCAGCAATTGCGCCATCATCACAGAGGCACCCTATGAGTGAGGCCATGGGCACAGGGACACAATCACCTTCATGCCCTACCTTGGCAAAGCTAGGGCAGACTTCAGCTGCATCTTCCAGATGGAGAAACTGAGGCTCAGAGACATTCAGGGTGGAAACAAAACCACTAATTTTGGGTGCACAATTTGACAGGCTTTCAGGCCCTTCTCCCCATCATATACCCTCCCTTCCTGGAGTAAGAGTGTGTCTGCGGGTAACTCACGAGGAGCAGCTGATAGGAGACAGGTCCACATGGCACCTGTAATGGAAAGTACAGGAGTTTGAATGCATGGGTGACAGGAAGAGTGTGGGGCACACTCTCTCCCCCTTTCACAGTGCATGATCCAAGCCAATGTGCTACAAACATGCCCCAGCCAGTGTCACAGCCATCCTAGGCATGGCTTGCCAGCTGGAACCAGTGGATAAGGGAGTGCTGCCCGGAAGTGTTAACTCTGAACCCTAACAATGGCAAGTTCAATGCTAGCACTAGTAGCTGTTCCCTTCCCCGTAAATGCTCAGAGGAAAAGCAAGGGTTTCACACCCTCTGTGTCAAAGTATAGTCTGCTCTAGCCCAAGCAAGGTGCACAATTCAGCGGGGTTAGACTCACATATATAGAAGACTGGACAATGGAAGAAACATGTGGGGGGAATTTTAACCCTCATGTACAGACCAGGCAGCGTGCAGAGCCTCTGCTGGGAGGATTTTCATCTGCACTGCTGTGGATCATACTGCTGCATGACTGCTGTTCCCAGTGCAGAGTCCAAGTGGTTTTGTACGTGAGCACCAGATGGAGCTCATTGGCAGCCCTGGTCGCATGCAGTGGCCACCTCCAGGGAAGTACCAGGGCAGATTTCCCAGGTTGTGCAATAGTCCATAAATCTGCCCAGCATATAGCTGCAACCTTCTTGTCACAAGCTAAGGGGAAAATTACCTCACGGTGTGAGCCTCCCCCCTGGTTTGGGCAGGATGCTACTTGTGTAACGGGAAACCACCAACTACAAGAGCAGGAGGGGAAGGTGGGGGTGGGGGGAAGGCAAGGTCAGGTGTCAGCTTCTGGGGACTAACATGCAAAGGTTCAGTAGCTGCTGCAATGTGGGGGCCCAGACCAGCTCAGGACCCTAGTTTGCACTGATCTAATCCCACCACTATAGGAGAAGCCTGAGGTGGCTATGTAGGGTGAGGTGAGGGAGAAGGGACAGGTGCTGGGGTGAGAGACAGGGGTGGCTGTTTGTGCGGAAGGTGAAGGTGAAGTGGTATGGATGTCATGGGGGAAGCAAGTGACTGTCAGGGAGGAAGGGTGTATAGCATGGGTGTGGGTTGGGGGATTGTGTGACAGGGGGCTATGAAGGGGAGATTGTACAGTGGCCTTTGGAACGGGGCGGGGGTGTGTACGTGACAGAGAGAGAGAGAGGGAGAGGGGGAGAGAGAGGATAGTTTGTGGATGTGCATGTAGAAGTTGCAGCGGTTCTATGCATGTGTTTGCAGGCTGTGTCCATGAGAAGTGGGGTGGTGTGTGTGTGTGGTGGGAGTGAAAAATGAGTACTTTGTGTGTGGAGAGAGAATCTGTGTGGGGAGAGCAGTGTGGGGCTCCCTTAACAGAGAGGCTGACATTGTCACCATCAAACCCCCGCAGGAAAAGGCCTTGGTAGGTTGTGGGGCTCAGATCAAGGACTGCGGGCAGGCAAAGGAGGAGGAGAAGGGAGTAACTGACTTACCAAGAAGAACAAGAAAGGCTGGAGTGGGACCCATGGTGCTGGTGACTCCAGAGAAGCAGGCAGGGCTGGAGTGTACCCGGCGCCGTGGTGACTGGTTTTGGGAAGGATACGCTAGATTTAGCCTCTCAACTGTAAAATCTTCCTCCTTGTGGCCTCCTCCTGCCCACAGTCTCCTTGGATGTCGCAACAGCTTTTGAGACAGCCTGATCTGGCCATGGGGCAGGGGCACTGGCTGGCTCAGGGGGTAGGAACAGGGCAGGGACCTTTCCCCTTTAGAAAATGCTGGCTTCAGTACAGCATTGGGGCAAAGGGAGTGAGGCGCAATTATTGCGTTCGTCTCAGGGGCTTTCACAAGGAGGTATCAGCTCTAGCAGAAGCAGAGGGAATGCCCTGGCTGAAGGAGTCATTTGGGACAAATTCATTCCCATGGGCAATAGGGCTGGGAGGAACAAGAGTCATGGCTCCCTGCGGTGGTCTCTGGTGTAGATTTGGGGGTCTGAGGGTTTTTTTGACAGCCCCTTTCTTATGCGAAATGAATCCTTCAGTGGAGTGAACACATAAACCAATTTTATTAGAATTTTCAATTATGATTATTGTTAGAAAATAAAGAACAACACAATATATATCTAGATATATTTTTATGATCCAAGCATAAATAAGAAGTCTTTTAACTTAGAATCTCTACATCTTAAAATCCTAAGAATTTCTAACAGGTGTCCAGCCTCTGAATCTGACCCAAATTCAGAGACTAAATTTTAAGAGGTGTTGGATCTTCATTATGTCTGCAGACAAGAACCTCAGCCAGAAGTAGAGGAACATCTCAGAGCATTGAGCCACTTCTGATTCCCTTCCTTGAACAAAGGCTTACAACATTACTTGATAGAAATGTCAAAAATATAGTAACAAAAAGGTGCCATTATGTCATTCTGTTAGTTTAGATCAGTGGTTTGCAACCTGTGGTCTGTGGACCCTTGTCTAAACCCATGTCTAAAGCGTCTGTGAAAGATGACTATGATCAATCAAACATATGTAAATACCTACACTTACAGTTCAAAGGGGTTCGCAACTCTATTCAAAATTTCCAAAGGAGTCTGCACCTTCATTCAAAAATGTTTACGGCTCTGCAAATGAATAAAGGTTGAAAACCACTGGTCTAGATGGCATACACTAACCTAATCCCTTGGTCAAGATGAGATGTCCTAAGACTGGCTAGTCTTCCATGAAGTTTCTCTCTCCTGTGACTGGGCAGTGGGCACTTCTACCTGTTCATTAATGTGCCATAATTACGGCGCATTAAGTTTAGTCCCTGTAATGACAGGTACTAACTTAATGTGCCATAATTGGCGCTATTGCACATTAGTGCAAACAAATGATCTTTTTGTGATGTTAATACACAATAGACTAAATCTTTTGTGCATTAGCATGTTAGCATGGGTTTTGCCTGCCTTGCAAATGCACAGTAGGATGAGTCTACTGTGGTCAGTGTCTCCCGTAGATGTGCCCACTGAGTTCCTTTTACATTACTTCCCTTATTCTCACTTATGTTAACTTGGCCTAACTTAAAGTGAACACAGCTAAAAGCTTACTACAGGTAATATAAGGCAAGATAAAAGGATTCTAGCTCAACACAAAGGTCTACCCTTGGGACGAATGCTACCAATTGGAACCAATGCAACACCACTTTTTAGTGAGCTGAGAGAGCTGTCCCAGTGTGTGTGTAGGAAGAATTGACCTGTTTTGTGTCACAGCCCAGGTACTGCTCACAGCTAGTGGAGATTCCCTTCTTTTCCAGTGCCCTCCCACCTGTTCCCCCCGCCCTGGATAGTGCTAGGCACAAGGGAGTGTGCAATATTTCCACACTCTTCACACTGGGGCCTTGTCACCTGAGAGGGAGCAGAGCATGGGGCCTAGCTTATTGGACTCACAGGCCAGCGCTGCTGTGTCTACTTTCTCCTGCAGGCCCCGCTCCATTATGGCTGTCCCCACACCTGCCTGGACCTCTTCAGTGGATCCTGGAAACAGAACCCTCCCTTTGCCACAGCTGCTTCTATGGAGGAGACACAAACTCCTGGAGTCAATCCATTTTGGGGTGCTGGAACCACTCCCAGACTGGGCGTGAACCCAGCACCCTCCCGAGACAGGATCCTCCTTCATCTCCTGCTCTGATCAAGTATCATCTTCTGCCCTAAAAGAGATACAGTGCCTCAGAGATGGCTGCATCTGTGCTAGATGAGAGGGCCCTGCATAAGCAGCTCCCCAATATACCCCACCACAGAGGTGGCTACATCTCGGCACCAGGTACACAGGAATCCCCTCACACCAGCCCCTAATGTGTCCCACACCAAAGGTGGCTGCGTCTTAGAATTGGGGAGGGGAGGGTCCCTTTGTAAATAGGCCCTATGACCAGCCTTTAGAAAAGGGCCAACTACTTGTAATGCTTTTATAAATGACCTGCATGACTGCACAATAGCTCCTGGCAGACTCCTTACCCACAAGGAAGGAGCTAATCTTTCCTCTGGGCTGGGAGAAGTGAGACATGAGCTTGACACATTGTGCTTCAAGGTGAGGGTAACATGCTAGCAGAGCTGGAATGAGAGCAACACCAATGAACTGAGCTGCCTAAGGAGACTCAGGACCCAGAGGCCCATACCAGACAGACAGCGCCAACACGGAGGTCTAGTAGCCAACACTTACTGTTGCAGTCTATGACTCCCAGTCAGGAAGGCTGCTGAAGGAAGGAACACAGCTCAGTGCGTGAAGTCCTGGCTTCAGTTACCACCAGCTCCAGCTTTTGGGGTGGCTGTGACCATATGCAGATCTAGGCTTTTGAAAAGGGGGTGGGGAGGTGCAGATGATGTGGTACATCATTCCATAAAACACAGTGAATGCTTTTATTAAGTTAAAAAGAAACTAGAAGCTTTACTAATAAGCTAGTAGCCAATGGCTATATTATTCAGTTTAAGATTGGATCAAAAGCAAATACAAATTTGCTCTATCATATAACGCATGACGTTTAAAAAAATCCCACAACACTGTAGCAAAAAACAATCAACATTTATTGTTTCTTTAGTCCTGTAGCTATTAGATTTAAATGTACATCTCCTTTTTCAGATTCATAAAACAAAATCTAGACTTCTTGACTTCACTGAAAGTTATTTCCACACCTGAGTTTTCATAGATTTCATAGACATTAGGGCTGGAAGGGATCTCGGAAAATCATTGAGTCCAGCCCCCTGCCCCAGGGGCAAGAAGTCAGCTGAGGTCACAGGATCCCAGCAAGATAAATGTCCAATTGATTCTCAAAGGAATCCAGAGTAGGTGCTTGCACCACCTCTGGTGGCAGTCTGCTCCAGGTCTTGGGAGCTCAGACTGTAAAGAAGTTCTTCCTTATGTCCAGCCTGAAACGGTCTTAGAGAAGTTTGTGACTGTTTGACCTTGTCATCCCATGGGGTGATCTGGTGAACAGGTGTTCTCCCAGATCCTGATGTACACCCTTTATATACTTATAGGCAGCCACCAGGTCCCCCCCGAGCCTACGCTTTTCCAGGCTGAAGAGTCCCATAGCTCTCAACCTCTCGTCATAAAGCCTGTTTTCTTGCCCTCTGATCATGTGTGTGGCTCTCCTCTGGACTCTTTCAAGCTTCTCCACATCCTTTTAAAATTGTGGAGCCCAGAATTGGATACAGTACTCCAGCTGTGGCCTCACCAAGGCCAAGTACAGTGGGAGGATGACATCCTGGGATTTGCTAGAGAAGCATCTATGGATGCAAGCCAGAGTTTTGTTTGCTTTGCCGGCTGCAACATCACACTGGTGGCTCATATTCATCTTGTGGTCAATCACGACCCCCAAGTCCCTTTCAGCTGTGGTGCTAGCAAGTGTAGCACTGCCGAGCCTATAAGCATGCTGCGGACTTTTCTTCCAAAGGTGCAGTTCCTTGCATTTTTTGTAGTTGATGGCCATCAGGTTTTCATCCTCCCATTTTCTGAGCCTGTCAAGGTCAGCCTGGATCACCATCCTGTCCTCGGGTATGGACACTTTACCCCAAAGTTTGGTGTCATCAGTGAACTTGGCCAGTCCACTCCAGACACCAATGTCCACATCATTAATGAAGATGTTGAAAAAGATAGGCCCAAGGACATAGCCTTGTGGGACCCCACTGGTCACAGTGCACCACAACAATTGACTTCCGTCAGCTACCTCTCTCTTGGTCCGACCGCAAAGCCAGTTCCCCAGCCAGTGGACTGTGATGTAGCCGAGGTTGCAGTTGGACAGTTTTTCTATAAGACGATCATGGGATACCAAATTGAAGGCTTTTTTAAGTCAAGATATATGATGTCAATCTCTTCTCCCTTGCCCAGGTGATATGTCACCTGGTCGTAGAAGGAGATGAGATTGGTCAGGCAAGACCTATCTGCAACAAACCCACGCTGGCTGTCCCTCAAGAAGTTGCCTTCAGCCAGTTTGTCAAGAAAGGTCTTTTGGATGATTTTCTCCAAGATCTTCCCGGGGATGGAGGTGAGGCTGATGGGCCTGTAGTTCCCTGGATCTACTTTCCTCCCTTTCTTGAAGATAGGCACCATGTTGGCCTTCTTCCAATCCTCAGGCACTTCACCTGAGCACCACGAGTTCTCAAAGATCCGTGCCAGTGGCCGAGCTATGATGCTTGCTAGCTCCTTAAGTACCTTGGGGTGTAAGCTGTCTGGGCCAGCTAACTTGAAGGTGTCCAACCTCTCAAGGTGTTCCTTCACATGGTCAACATTGATGTGGGGTAATAGATTCATAGATGTTAGGGTTCGAAGGGACCTCAATAGATCATCAAGTCCGACCCCCTGCATAGGCAGGAAAGTGGGCTGGGTTCAGATGACCCCAGCCAGATGCCTATCTAACCTCCTTTTGAAGACCCCGCAGGGTAGGGGAGAGCACCACCTCCCTTGGGAGCCCATTCCAGATTTTGGCCACTCTAACTGTGAAGAAGTTCTTCCTAATGTCTAGTCTAAATCTGCTCTCTGCTAGCTTGTGGCCATTATTTCTTGTGACCCCCAGGGGTGCCTTGGTGAGCAGAGCCTCACCAATTCCCTTCTGCACCCCCATGATGAATTTATAGGCAGCCACAAGGTCGCCTCTCAACCTTCTCTTGCGGAGGCTGAAGAGGTCCAGGTGCCCTAGTCTCTC